GGGTTACATTATTTACTGTACCGTCCCATTTTGTCGTATATTTAGCGTACAACTTGCTATTGCTGCCTACAGATCGGTTCGGTACTTCAAATAAAACTGATTGTACAGTGGGGATAGGTTTTATGCAAAACTATTAAGATTGGTGAGAAGAATAATAAAGATCGTAATTTTCAAATTTAATGTTTACTATTTAATGCTTATTTACAATATCAACAGGTTTCTTACCAGAAACTTTCCACCCAACTCCTGGAATCTTTTAACTGTTGCTCTGAAAGTCGGCGTTTTTAAATTTTGGCGGATTTTTTTCGAATTGGCTCACTTCAATAAAATCCAATATTTTCCAGGAATTTCATTTTTGATGTTCCATAAACCTTTCTTGGGGTCATTACAGATCCCACACAAAATTTGGGCCCTATCAATTCAGCCGTTTTGACGTGTATACAAACAAAAAACAAACAAACACCCACACAAGCAAGTATATATATATAGATGTACATTTTTAATGCGTGAACATGTCCTAGCTGCATTTTAATATTAATATTTAAATAAAATTTTCATGAAAAACACATTACCGCTGTGGGAAAACATTGTTATAAAAACAAATATATAAATATCCAGGAGACATTCTAGAACATTTACAGAACATACAACTTTATTTATTTTATGAAACTATTGTATACTTCATCATTATTACTCACTTCATCGTGAATTTCATATTAAAGTAATCATCGTGCTATTTATGGATCTAGTATTTGGGACTTGAGTTCCCAATGTGTTTCAGAATTGTATACAGCATGGAATACTGCTATTAGAATTCTTTTTAATGTACCTAGAGATACGCATAGGTACTTGATTGAAAGTATTTCACAATGTTTACATGTAAAAATTATGTTAGCTAGCAGATGTGTGTCTTTCTATGAGACTATTGAAGCAAGTTCTAAGCTTTGCATTAGATTTCTTTCTAATTTATGTAAAAATGACCTCAACACAGTTCTTGGCAGAAATTTATTTTGTATTGCAAATGATTATTCTGTAAATCCTTCGGATCTTAGTAAAATGTTAGTTAAGAAACAAATGAAATATTTTGATGTCCCATTGGAACATGAATGGAAAGTTCCAGTTTTACAAGAACTTTTAAATACAAGAATGAATAATTAATATGTTGAAGGATTCGATGATTACGTAATAACTGAAATGATAAATATGTTATGTAGTGAGTAAAAATCAATGTTTTCTATTTGTGCATATTTTTGCATATTTTTTCTCTTTTCTTTTGGAAACCTGTATTTTCAAAAAAATTTATTTAAACAAATTTAAACTACACCATTTATATATGTATTTATATCTTTGTGTGTGAATAAATCTTAATAATAATAATATAATGTTTATTAGTTGTACATTATAGCACGTGTGCTATAAAGTTCATGGTTCCCGGATTTTTTCCAATTTTTCATTTGAAATAAAAATATAATCGAAATCAACGTTATATCATCTAGAAATAGCCATTGAAATAAGACAAGTACACAAACGTTTCATAAAATTACCTAACACTATTATTTTGGTACGACGTTTTTGGACTTAAATTTTCTTTGTATCTCGAATTTATATTTGCTAAGAAAATGGTGAATATCTACATTTGCCTTTCTTCTATAGCAAAGAACCAGAAATATCCAGTTTTTACTTAATATTAAATAATAAATATGTATCACAACCATCAATAACTTTAGACGCATTGTAAAAAAACTGTTTTTCTTGAAGGCCCCAAATGTTAGACCACACATATGTGAAGTTTTCCTGCAATACTTTTACGGTACAACAAAATAGCGCTTTTAGACTGCACTGTATTCATTATATCTGCTCTGTGTCTGTGAGCCTTTCCCCGGCCTTACAAAACCTCTGGTTGTTTTATATTTAATGGGAGTGTACTGTGTGGACACGTATTTTATATTGTTTCACACGAGATTTATGTATATTTGTTTATCAATTGGTTATTTATGTCTGGTCTAAACATAATGTATGTTTATATTATCTATCCTGCTCGACAGAATGCTGTTTGTCTGCGTAGAGTTTCTTATATTTTTTTTTGGGGGGGGGACATTTATTTAGCTTTGATTTAAAGAAAGTGTTTTGAAAAAACTAAATTTGGTTTCATAAGTAAAGATGACAATCATATATAAGGAATAAATTTTCCTTGATAATAATTTCCACAATTTTTAACAGAATCTAAAAATCTCGTAAAAGTAGTATCTTAAATTTTTCGGCTTGAATGTTTTATAAATAAAATAATTTAAATTTCACTGCATTCCGAGCACTTTAGCTAGTATCCCATAAATCTCGAACCAGTCGGGCCTCAATGTTGCCCGGAGAAAAGGTTGACATGAAGAAAATGCACTAATTAAAAGAGAAAAATCTGCGAATATTATTAAAACAATTAGAGCAACACTTAACCCTATCTCTGCTGGGGTACTTGAAAACCAGGATATGCTGTGGCGGGGGCAATTTGACCCCCCTCTAAATCCCATGTTTGATGTCCAAATATGACAAATGGTACATCATTTAGAATCTGCAAAAAAAATAGCAAATTTGCAAAAATTGAATTTTTTATCGCAAAATCCAGTAAAAATGTTTGCAAAAAAAATTTGTCCAAAAAATAAAAAAATTATACATTTTTGAAAAGCCCTTGACCATGCCATCTTAAATATGCAAAAAAAAATTTGCAAAATTTAAAACAACTTGATTTTTAATCAAGAAAAACTAAAAATGTGCAAATTTCCATTGACAGGTTGTTTGCAAAAAATTTGCATTTTTTCGCAAAACTGGTACAATTTGTTTCCTTATGTCAAAGGCTTTCAAAAAAGCTAAATTTTATCAAAATCTGACAAGTGGAAGTGGGTCAAAACAAAGATTTAGTTTGTTACAGGAAAAAGCAGTCATTCAGGCAGTGTGCCTGAGGACTCAGACAGTTAGTATTAAAGCTCGGTTTTAGGCCTAAAGGGAGGGCTTTGGGTATGTAGGAAAAGTCAGAAAATTTCAAGAGCCTCAGACCAATACTTTTTGAGTTATGTAAAAAAACTACAGGGGGGGTCAAATTGACCCCCCCCCCCCCCAGCAGGAATAGGGTTAATAGATAAATTGTGAAGGGGGCGCGAATCGACCAAAAAGCATAGTTCCCAAAAATAAAGAAAACTCCGCAACATGTAATAAATAATATATTTTCTCAACTCCTTTTCCAGGATATATAGGATAATATATAAATATTGAACATGGTAAAGTATATTCTTGAGAGATGAGATTAACACATGTGATAAATGTATCTAATACAGAATACATACATTTCTTGATTACAAACCATATATACATACATTTTACATATATAGCTGTCTATAGACTAAATAATAAAGGCTGCTCTGGTAAACCCAGCTATATAGGCCATACTCCTACTGGCAAAGCTGCTATATATGTTTAGAATATTTATGACTGCCATCTAACGCCTTTTCTCTCAACTATTCTACTTTCAGGGGTTGAAATTTTACGATGTTTTATAAAAATCTTAATTTTTACAATGATTCCACGTTAGCTTTTAATTTTTGATCTTCCATGTTCTTCAGTCTACAATAACTGCGCTTTTAGGGCGTTTGGCGTCCACCTTTTATTTCAATCGTGAACATGTTCTCTTTGCATACATTGTAAAACAAAAACAAACAAAAAGTTTATGGATTTTTAAAAAAAAAAATTGAAATTTTTAAGATTTACAGAAATCGAATTTTTTAGAGGCAAATTTTTGAAAATTTGATCATCAAGTAAATATGTATAAAAGCAAGAACTTAATAGTTATGGAAAGTACATATCTATAAAAGCAAGAAATTAATATTTATGGAAAGTACATATCTATAAAAGCTAGAACTTAATAGTTATGGAAAGTACATATCTATAAAAGCAAGAAGTTTATAGTTAAGGAAAGTACATGTCTAAAAAAAGTGCTAAAAAAGTACAAAATGTTTTGATAGGTAAAATCTAAGACTAAGTCGTTGCAAATGTTCAAAGTCGACCCAGCAGTTTAGGAAATTTTCATAGCAGTCTATCAAACTGAAAACAATTGTTTTTGAATCTATATCCAGGGCTACAAATGGGGTTAAAAAAGACCGAAAATTCTAACTAAGGATCAACCTAGAATGTCTCACTTCTTAGTGAATACATTTATCAAAGCATAGATTACTGTGGCTTTGTTCTGAAATTAAAGCACTTGATATATTTCCATTTAATTTAATAAATATCTATCTAGTTACGCGCACTCGCAAGGTACATGTGAAAGGAATACTAGTATACGCGCGCGTCAAGGGGGGTAAGGCGTAACATCAAAATGGAGACTGTACGTATATATTATTTTATTTATTTTCTAATGGATGACATTTGTGGAAGTATTTATGTGAAACCATTATAAAAATTGTACTTATCAATGTTAGATTGTTGCTATAATCTTCAGTTAGCCTATCATATCAACTATAACCAACATCAAATAAAGATTTCAAAACTGTATGTGCTGGCTCTCGGCTTTTATAATTGTATCTTAATAACACTTCTTAACACCTTACTTGCCATTTCCTTTTCCAAGATCTTCAAAATCTTTCAAAATCCCGAATAAAAGCTAGCTAGCTATAGTTACTGTAGAGCTCGTAGATTTATAGAATTGCTATTTTTGCGAAGTTTCTGAAATTCTCAAAACGGAGCAAAATAATTGTAGAAACCGATATAAGAGAAAGCTGAAGAGAAATTGAACAGCCAGTACTTTTTATCATCATCATAGTTAAAGATACACACAGTTTAGATAAACTATTGATAGACAGGAAGAAAAATAGTTGGATAAATAGATAGATGGATAGGTATATAGATAGATAGATATGTGGAAGGGTAGATAGATAGTTTTATAAAGGATTAAAAACTAAGTCTTCCTTTTGATTCTTCAATTATGTACCCATGTAAACTGTTAGATTATACTTCAATTACTTAGATTCAAGGTTTTTACTGCAGTTAGATTTAGGTTCTATATTGGAGTTAGGTTCAGGTTCTATTCTGGAGTTAGGTTTAGATTCTATATTGGAGTTAGGTTTAGGTTCTATGTTGGAGTTAGGTTCAGGTTCTATATTGGAGTTAGGTTTAGGTTCTATATTGGAGTTAGGTTCAGGTTCTATACTGGAGTTAGGTTCAGGTTCTATACTGGAGTTAGGTTCAGGTTCTATACTGGAGTTAAGTTCAGGTTCTAAACTGCAGTTAGGTTCAGGTTCTATACTGGAGTTAGGTTTAGGTTCTATACTGTACTTAGCTTCAGGTTCTACACTGTAGTTAGGTTCAGGTTCTATATTGGAGTTAGGTTTAGGTTCTATATTGCAGTTAGATTCAGGTTCTATACTAACAGTTAGAATCAGATTATATACTTGAGTTAGGTTCAGGTTCTATACTAGAGTTATGTTCAGGTTCCATACTAGAGTTGGGTACAGATTATATACTGGAGTTAGGTTCGGATTTTAAACTGCGGTTAGGTTTAGGTTCTATACTGCAGTTAGGTTCAGGTTCTATACCGGAGTAAGGTTCAGGTTCTATACTGCAGTTAGGTTCAGGTTCTATACTGCAGTTAGGTTCAGGTTCTATACTGGAGTTAGGTTCAGGTTCTATACTGGAGTTAGGTTCAGGTTCTATACTGGAGTTAGGTTCAGGTTCTATACTGGAGTTAGGTTCAGGTTCTATACGGGTTCAAGTTCAAAGCTGAATTTAACATAACGCATATTTTACAACTCTTAATTCTATGAAAGGAAACCTTTGAAATTTTACATAATTATGTGAAATAGTTACAAATACATTTTTACATGTATGTACTTATATATTTATAAAAGATTTAGATAAAAAAATAAAAACTTAATCACCTATTTGCTCTGCACTCTGTAAACTGAATAAATCATTTTGCTATACGTTAAATCACTTTTTCAAAACATTTTTCATTTATTCAATCTGTATTCTCATTTCTATATTCTCTATTGTGTATTTAGTTACCATTATTAAGCACGGAACGACGGTTGACACTAGTAATAGGAGAGACGGAGAACTGAGGATACGTTCATGGTAACCTCGAGGCCATAGGCCCGCCTTACAGCCCTACCTTACCCGTCTCTTAGCCCTACCTTCCCGCCCTTTAACTATACCTTAACAGCCCTTTAACAATACCTTACCCGCCCTTTAGCAATACCTTACCCATCTCTCAGCCCTACCTTACCACCCTTGAGTTATACTTTACCCGCCCTTTAACTTTACCTTTCCGACCCTTTAAATATTCCTTAACCGCCCTTTAACAATACCTTTCCGACCCTTTAAATATTTCTTAACCGCCCTTTAACTTTACCTTACCCGCCATTTAACTATACCTTAACGGTCCTTTAAACTATACCTTCCCCGCCCTTTAACTATACCTTACCCGCCCTTTAACTATACCTTCGCCGCCCTTTAACTAAACCTTCCCCGCCCTTTAACTAAACCTTCCCCACCCTTTAACGATACTCTACCCACCATTTAAAAAGTTACACTTTAAAACTTGGTGATGATTATGGAGATATAATTGTTTTTCTATCTAAAGATTGATAATTTTGTATCATCAGAGAAAAGGAAGGAAATTGGCAGAATTAATTTATTTTCAAGATAGAAAATGGAAGATATATTACTCATTGTTACTCAGATCAAGTTGTCAAGGGTACCAATATAAATCAGACTTGTAACTTGTTAAATGGATGGTATACAGTGATAACCAGTAAACTGTTAAATAGGAACATAACTTTTAGACTTTAAATAGTTCAATGAGCATGCGGACAGAAATTGTGCAGCGTAAACAGACCCATTAAACTTCATTAGTGATTTAATGATTGTAAAGTAAATTTTTTTTCTAATTGTAACAATGTTAAATACACTTTACCATTGTTTATAAAGTCGTCTTCCTTTTTCACAGTTGTTTGGTTATATCTGTATTCAATTCCTTTCCTTACCATCCTTTATTTAATTAATTCATCAGTTTTCCTCTGCTTACATTTGGGAGAAAAAAATACCTCGCAGAAATATTGTTTTCCAATCAAATTAAATTTGAATAATCCTAAATAAAATGTTAAAAATACCCAGAAATATTGCAAATTTTAATTATTTTTCTTGCACTTGCAGAAGCTAAAATAATATTTTGATTTAAAGTGGAAAACAACAGAAGAAAATAAAAATGCGGCATTATACAAAGACGGATTTCAAAATCTTTTCTCAATTCTTTTGTTTATTAGAACACCCGGTACCTTAAAACTTTAGGTTTGCAAACTGACACAAATTCAAATTTTTGTTTTTATATTTAATGGATTTTTTTCCTGTAGTAAAATACAGTGAGGCTCATAAAACTGTGAAATAGAAAGACGACTTTTACCCTTAAGTTATGATTTTAAATAGTTCAATGAGCATGAATCCCAGCAATTGTGTAGTGTAGACAGACCCATTTCACGCACAAATTATTTTTCGGCTACTGGTCACATGTATCCAGCAAGCACAAAGAAACTGAGTTCTTGCTACAAACTCTGAATTTTCAATCCCTTCATCTTTTAAACCTGGTGGTATAAATCTTTTATATTTCAAACTTAGACTATTTGATCTCATAGAATTCATATAAATATGAAAGGTCTGTGAAATCGGGTTGCAAAGATATAGGAAATAGAAAGTCAGAGTTTGTGGCAAAAACTCAGTTCCTTTGGCGCGCTGTGGCCTCACCATTTGATTTTAAGACAATTGAGATTGGTTGCAAACAATTAGACATTCAAACAAGATAAATGTATTCATATCTTTAAGATTAATACTTGGATGAACATCTATATGATGTCACATTTATAGCGTTTTTTTCAAAACATATTTACCATAAAAAAATTTTATTAAAGAAAGTAACCAACATTTATTTTATCCTGTCAAACTATAAAAAATAATAATAATATAATTATTTTTCATGAATAAAATACTGCAGATATGGAAGTTGTTTTTCACTGAAACAAATTCACATCATACGTTATTGTCCAATTATTTAAATATTTTTAAATTGTGCAATTTTTCATGAAACTAATATTACTTATTTTCGTATTGATGCGCAAAATCATGCAAACATTATGACTACTTTAATCATGGATTCATCCGCAATTTCGTGCAAAAAAAGAAATATTTATTTCGAATGAATGCGCTATTTCGTGCAAATCTGGTTTCATATTGATACGAAAATGATGCGAAATTTGGTGCAAAAAAGTCATTTCGTGCAAAAACTATGTCTATACGTCCAGCAATTCGATATCCAATAATAAATACTTGGCTTTTACATCCACCATAGGACTTTTTTGGAAAAATCTCTACATGTTCATAAAGTGTTAAATGGTACTTAAACATTTTTTGTTAAAAGTCAACTTTTATTGAGATTAAGACTTCTTATTTTGTTTTTCTAAAATTTCACAAATTCCTGAACTTAATACATGAATCTATTTAGACTACCACCAATTCACAAAACATTATAGTTTTTGTGAAATACTTAAATAATGAAATGCAACAAAAGCACAAATTTAAGTATTTCTCAAAAACTATTATGTTTTGTGAATTGGTGGTAGTCTATATAGACTGTTTTATTTTGACTTTCATGTCAAAACTACTGAAATGTTATCAAATCAAACTTGACAACTGCAAATATGGTTTTTGAAAAATGTATAAATTCTTAAAACTTTTATTGTAAAAATGTTTTAACCAAAAATTATACTAGCTTGGGAACCCCAGCCATGTTTATGGATGCTCAAAAGTTGTATCCAAAAGCTTTTGACTTTTGTAAAATTTTGAAAATGCGCGAAAAAAATATGAAATCTGCAAACTTGAGATTATAACTATAAGGTGAGTTCCCGATAAACAACGATACCCTTTAAACCTTTTTCAATGTGGAGGATATCTTTATTTTTTTAATTAAAAAGTGGATAATTCTGACAATTTTCTCCATTGTTTCTGAAGCAAAAATCTATGAAACCACAATAGAATAATAAATAATAAAGAAAAATTATGGATATCTCATACATTCGTGACCAGGCAAACCTTTCTAGGTACTGTTTTAAATCAGACATGATGGGGAGTTCCTTTAATTTTGTCTACAGTCCCTTTAAGTTTAAATGTTTTGACAAGATTAATGATATAATGGTGTATTCAGTATTCAAGCTCTTCAAGCCCAATATACCAAACTTTAATGCAGTATTCTGTCAGACCGTCATTCTTTTGAATAGAGTTCTTGGACGGGAGGGAGGGAGGGAGGGGGGGGGGCTTCCTTCTCCCCTGAACGGAAAATTACAGCCTTGCTAATAGTCTTAACTTTGTAAACAGTTTTTATCTGTAAACTGAAGATTTTTGTAATTAGTGTTTTTACCTGTTGTTGGACTATACACTTTAAATATCAAAGTTTAATATGTATTTTACGCTATTATCATAGATTTTGAATAGCAGATTGAAAAGATGACGGAAAATGTGGATTTACTTCGTTGCAGTTAGTTTATTGTGAATTTGAGTTGACTGACATGTATAAAAGGTTGATACTGAGCCCGCGACTTAAAAAACTCGGGAAAATACGGGTTGGGTCTAATTGCTGTCGTTGGGCCTTATTTACAGCTTGAGCTTTCGGATTCAAGCTGCATCTTATTTTCCACAGAGTTGAGTTCAAAAAACCGGTTTAATACTCTATTTGGTGGATTTTCATGGTAGGAATTGGCGCATACCGAGTTTTTATGAGAACAAGACTCAATATTGAGCCTTATTCTCCACTAACCAAGGTCGGTTTTATTTCCATTTGGCCTAACTCCTTAAGTCGAGCCTAAAATCTTGCTGCTGTCAATCACGTGACAAAAGCTGTCGTCAGAGTTGTGTCATTAAGATTGGGTCTTAAAGTCGGGTTTAAGGAATTACGATTCGAGCCGAAGTTTTAACATCGCGGGCTCTGGTTGATACTGAGTTTGTCGTATAAATGGAAAATAAAGAAGAGATAATAAAAAACTATCATGAAATTCTCACCAATTTCGTTCTAACAGTTATAATGTTAATGTTACCGTTAGATTTGCAATATAAAATTGTAATAATTGAAAAAAAATCTTTCAAAAAGAGCTTTAAAGGGATTGAAGGCATACTTTCAAGTGTCTCTCCAGGCCTCAATCTGTAAACTGGTATGTCCGATTAACAACAGTACACTTCAACCCATATTGACTGATTACAGACACGCGTGTAATTGCCAGCTGTATTAAATTTAAGAATTCGCTTAATATTTACTTTCTAGAACATAAAGAAATTGAGTCTTTGTAACAAACTCTGATTTTCTAATACCTATATTTTTTCCACCTGATGGTGTAAACCTTTGATATTTCAAACTTGGATTTTTTCATCTAACAGAATTCATAGTTTGAAATATCTAAGTTCTACGGCATTTGATTACAAAGATATAAAGATTAGAAAATCATAGTTTGTGACAAAGACTCAATTCCTTTACACTAGAATTTTCGTAAACCCCACGGACATAAAATATTCAGGACTATTAAGGGATACAAGTAGCGTAAGCTCTTTTTGAGATCACACTGTACACTATCGTACAATCTGGGTTTTCTGAATTAAACACCGTTTCGAAGACCTGGGTGATCAGTCAAAAGTTTAAACACTCGTAAATTCAAAAATCATCATTTTTGCATAGCGGTCACTTGTAATTTCGCGTATAGTCTCTTTCAGTATGAAAAGTACATTCAAACAAGTGAATTTTGTAAAATTTAAAATCAAGAAATGACAATAACAAATAGACTTCAAAAGACAAAAGGCGTAGTTTAAAGGAAAGACTTGTTTCAAGTTTGCACGCAAAGAATTCAGGCCATAACTCTTTAATGCGTGTTTCTCAGGATACTCTTTTAAAATAGAGCAGTATTTTACCACTTACTCTTTTAAAATAGAGCAGTATTACACCACTTACTCTTTTAAAATAGAGCAGTATTTTACCACTTACTCTTTTTAAAAAGAGCAGTATTTTACCACTTACTCTTTTAAAAAAGAGCAGTATTTTACCACTTACTCTTTTAAAATAGACCAGTATTTTACCACTTACTCTTTTAAACTTTAAACTAGATACACTTAACCGCTTAGGAGTTTTCAAATAAATATATGTACGGCTAGAATGTTTAAGACATTTGGTGCAGTAAAACCAAATCAGTGAATTTGCACCCCACTATAGCTTGCCCGCTTAATTCTGTTGCACAAAACGAGCTGGGTCAATCAAATAATAGGTTAACTAGACAGGCTGGTACGAGTAAACACTACTGTACTGGTTCAAATCATGCAACTTGTGACCGATATTTAGAAACGTCAAATTTAGTATTGTAAAGGAATTGAGCTTTGCCAACTTAGACTTTATATTTCAATATTCTAACAAAATCAAAGTTTAAAATATCGACAGTCTGCGACATCAGGTTGCAAATATAAGGGTATTCGAAAATAAGAGTTGGTGGCAAAGACTCAATATTTTTGTGGTAACAGACAAAAATTCGTTATGGTGAAAAAAGTTGTCCACGGTTAAAGACGAATGATTACAATTTCATTGTTTTTAGCTTTGACGGATAACTAAGTGACCTTTTCCTTTTCGCATTTTTGGACGGTAACTTTGTACACTTTTATTCAATACACTTTTTCATAGTTTCGCCGTATTGTCCTGTGGCTAAATTGATTTTTTTACAAAAGTTTTAACAAATAAAATCTGTTTTGTTCAGTCTATGTAATCTCTTGACAGAGAATTGTAAAATAAATTTGCAGAAATTAGAGAGATTGTTGTCCGTAGCTGTCTAGGCGGACAGAAAACGATATTCTATACTTTAAAATATCAAAGTACATGGTTGAAAAGTATTCAAATAGAAACAGGATTAAATGAAAACTTTAAATTACAGATTGCCCATGGAAAATATATTTTAAATTTCAAAACTGTACAAAAAGTTTTTTTTAAAAAAAAGCTGAAATTTGTTTTTTTCAAATTTCAAACCTGGCCAAAAAGGTTAAAACACCCTGTATTTTACTTAAAACAAAACAGATTTTTTCATCATTTTTTTTCAATTCAACACGGTCGAATATGTTCCACGCTAAACTAAAGAAAATTAAAATATTACATCTTTTCAAAAATAACTCTTCTTTTTGAATAGCTATTGAAAATATCATAAATATTTTAAATTTTAAAGTAAAAACATGAACACCTTCAGACTAATTCTCCTGGTTATGTCAAAAAAAAAACCGAAGGAAGAGAGGTCTCTGGCACCCCTTTCTCACCCAACGTAGAAATATGGCAAAGAGAAAATACTTTTTTATAAAGTAGTAAAGAGATAATGATAATTAAAACTATATACAGGGGCGTAATACTCCCATAAACCCTAATTTAAAAATAAACATATTTTATTCTCTTGCATGCATATATGCATCTATATATACGTTATATAGTATAGTAATTTCTGTTTGTATGTTTGTTTGTTTGTTTGTACCTGGACTGATTTGTCTCAAATACTGATCTAGGAACTCGGTAGAACCAGGAGAATAATCCACGCTTAGTTTCTAAGTTGAGTAGGTTGACTTTTCCAAGCAGAGCTGTGTTTCAAGCTTGTATTTTCCAATCAGAGCTGTGGTTTCAAGCTAGTATTACAGTGTATCGCATATTGTACGAATATGATATATAAAGAAGTAGTATCTGCTTGTCTGTCTGTCTGTTTGTTTTTTATGTTTGATCATAACTCATGAACCCTGGTCTGATTTTAATTGGGTGTTTAGCTTTAATATATTTATAAAAGACGACATTACTGTTTTTCTGTCTTACCATACAAAGCAGGTAGTTTCAATTTGAACTCCACACCTATCACAGGTGTGGGGATGTTTTTCCAAGATGAATTTATCAATATTAAAGGTAATAGTCTGTAAACCTTAAATAACCTTTAGATTGTATTTATAAGTGTATGCATATTTATCAAGTTATATATCTTAACTATTTTGTATATTTCAATTATTTGACTTAGACGAGTGTATATGAGAAAGATTGAAAATAAACATCTAAAGAAACTTGCTCAGTATATTCACAAGTCTACCCATCGACAAAACTTGTCTTATTTTATTGAAAGGAGCCCTGAAACTGATTTCCAGGCAAAGCTGTGTTCCCAAGCTAGTATGATTTAAAAAGAATGTACATATATGCATCTATAGAACCATCTATCTTTACATGTAAAGTAGTAATCTCTGTTTGTTTGTTTGTATGTTCGATCATAACTCAGGAACCCCTGCACCAATTTGTCTAAAATATTGATTAGAGAACTCGGTAGAACCACGAGAATGCTTCTTAGCCTGGTTTAAGAATTCTAAATTGAAATCGATAGTTGACTTTTAGTTGGAAAAGCTGTGTTCCCAAGCTAGTATAATGTAACAAGAATGTAAATATGCATCTCTGACACCATACTAGATAAAACTGGTAAATAATATTGCTCGGAACAGACGAATAATTCTATACATTGTCAGTATAGCACTCAAGCATACCAACATAATATCCTGTTTGTATAGAATACATGGTTCAACCCATCCAGGTCTACAAATAGATAGATAGATAGAGAGATAGATAGATAGATAGATAGATAGATTTAGTATTTCTAATATTTTCCTCCTTACTCCATATGCATATATATGAAATATCTATGCGGCTTACTTTCATCCCATCCGAAGATCTCAGTCTAGGCTTCTTCAAATTCTCCTAAATCTATTCCAAGGTTCTCCTAAACCTATTCTAGAGTTCTCCAAAACCTATCCGAGGGTTCCTCTAAACCTATCCCAGGATTCCCCTAAACCTTTCTCAAGGTTCTTCCTAAATCTATTCCAGGGCTCTTCTAAGCCTATCCCAGGGTTCTCCTAAACCTTTTCCGGGATTCTCCAAAACCTATCCGAGGGTTCTTCTAAACCTATCGAAGGGTTCTCCTAAACCTGTCCCAGGTTTCTTCTGAACCTATCCCAGGGCTCTTCTAAACCTATCCCAGGGTTCTCCTAAACCTATTCCAGGGTTCTCCTAAACCTATTCCAGGGTTCTCCTAAACCTATTCCAGGGTTCTCTTAAACCTATTCTAGAATTCTTCTAAACCTATTCCAGGGTTCTCCTAAACATATTCCAGGGTTCTCCTAAACCTACTACAATGTGAGATCACTCTAAACAATTCCATTTTTTGCTTTGAAATATATAATATTTATTTATGTTGTTTTAGAATCAACTAATACATCAAAAATGTAAATTTTCATTAAATAAAAAGAAAAGAAACAAAAATATAAGAATATTGTAAAATATACAGCTAAGAACTAAAAATCACTAAAAAATCAAATAAATTGTTAGAAAACGAGAGAAAATGGTAAAACTAGACCGAATAGTTGAAGAGTTCAGGGAAGGGAGTCGTTTAAAAATTGCTGGGACGATGTTTCTTTAACAATTAAACTTTTTAAATGTTTTTCTCCTATTAAAACAACTATACGGTATAATCTAAGATATAAGATTGATTGATTGAAATTATTGTTTGATACATGTTTGGAAAGCAGCCTGGAGTTTACACGTTTACTCCGTCTTTGGTTTAGAGTAGGTCGAGATCTCCCATGTTCTGGTTTGATATCTCCGGAGGAGGAACAGCGGTGGAACCAATCAGTCCAGTTCTCTGATATACAAGAAATATTAAGCTAGACAACAATAATAAGACAAAGCTAGGATATAGTTGTTTTGATCCGCTGGAAGCTGAGAGAGCTGGGATAGATCCATGGAATAATATTTATGAAAAAAATATAGATTATTAGATAAAGGAAAAAAATAAACAAAGGAATAAAGGGACGGGATTTTAAAATTTCTTTCATTTTTTTTTTATTCTTCTGCGAAGGAATTAAATTTTTGCCACAAAATCTGATTTTCTAATTTTATATCATTTGAAATTTCAAACTATGAAATAGCTCCAATAACCTAAATTTGAAATATAATACAGGTTTTACCTTCAGCTTGCAAAGATATATGGATAAGAAATTTTTAGTTTGTGGCAAACGAAAACATTTCCATTATTCTTTTTTAATTCCTTATTCATTAAGAAAACACTGTTTTTACATTAGATTTTTTTATTAAATTAGATTTTTTGAACACAAGTGAAATCAGATATACAATTTTTTTTTCTTCAGAAAGCACTTTTATGGTCTGACAGATTAAGTTGATTAATGTTGGATATTGATTATTGCGGATTCATCTTGTCCAAAAGTGGAGACAAGTTTCTGATATATATTAAAAATACTTAAAGGGAGTGTTCGCGAAAAATGAAAGGGGGTATAGGCTTAATGCGATAAAAAAGCGCTTTTGATCGCTACTAATTTTACTTCGATCTGTTGCGTCTATAAGAAGAAAATTGTTAAAGACGTCTCATAACGAATAACTTAGCGCCCATACAAATTCAGAAAATTGCAACATACAACTTAGACCGTAAAAAATCAATTTAATTTCAAACAAATCATTCGAAGATATTACAACCTATAGTCATCGATTATCTTTCGCCACATTTGTATATAGTTTATATTTTATAATATTTTATTTTTTTTAGAAAACGTTTAACGGATTTCGAAAAATGTGAGTGGTGCGCGGCATTCTTAGATAGTTGCGCAAGCGACAAGAGAAATAATCAAACTCAAAACAAATTAATTAAAAAATATTATAAAATATAAACTATATACAAATGTGGCGAAAGATAATCGATGACTATATGTTGTAATATCTGAATGATTTGTTTGAAATTAAATTGATTTTTTTACGGTCTAAGTCATATGTTGCAATTTTCTGAATTTGTATGGGCGCTACGCTATTCGGTATGAGACAATTTGACAATTTTCTCCTTATAGACACAACAGATAGAAGTAAGATCAGTAGCGATCAAAAAGCGCTTTTTTATCGCATCAAGCCTATACCCCCTTTCATTTTTCGCGAACACTCCCTTTAATCAAAATCTTAAAATAATCCTTAAATTTAATCGCAAAATTATTGAGACTATTTTAGATATTCGTATTTACTGTAAACATTTTGTCCTTTGCTTTGTTTTATCCTACGTTTTCTTATATCCGTCTCAGGTTTGTCTTGTTATATCCGTCCCAGCTTTGTCTTATTATATCCGTCCCTCATTTGTCTCATTATATCCGTCCCAGATTTGTCTTATTATATCAATCCCACATTTGTCTTATTATATCCGTCCCAGATTTGTCTTATTATATCCGTCCCTCATTTGTCTCATTATATCCGTCCCACATTTGTCTTAATATATCCGTCCCACATTTGTCTCATTATATCCGTCCCAGATTTGTCTTATTTTATCCGTCCCAAATTTGTCTTCTTATATCCGTCTCAAATTTGTCTTATAATATCCGTCCCACATTTGCCTTATTATATCCGTCCCACATGTGTCTTATTATATCCGTCCCACATTTGTCTTCTTATATCCGTCTCAAATCTGTCTTATTATATCCGTCCCACATTTGCCTTATTATATCCGTCCCACATATGTCTTATTATATCCGTCCCACATTTGTATTATTATATCCGGCCCAGATTTGTCTCATTATATCGGTCCCACATTTGTTTCATTATATTCGTCCCACATTTGTCTCATTACATCCGTCCCACATTTGTCTTATTATATCCGTCCCTTGTTTGTTTCATTATATTCGTCCCACATTTGTTTTATTATATCCGGCCCATATTTGTCTCATTATATCCGTCCCACATTTGTTTCATTACATCCGTCCCACATTTGTCTTATTATATTCCTGCCACATTTGTCTTATTATATCCGTCTCACATTTGTCTAATTATATTCGTCCCACATTTGTCTTATTATATCCGTCTCAAATTTTTCTTATTATATCCGTCCCACATGTGTCTTATTATATTCGTCTCACATTTGTCTAATTATATCCGTCCCACATTTGTCTTATAATATCCGTCTCACATTTGTCTTATTATATTCGTCCCACATTGGTCTTATTATATCCGTCTCACATTTGTCTTATACACATTTGTCTTATTATATCCGTCTCACATTTGTCTAATTATATCCATCTCAAATTTGTCTTATATATTTGTCCCACATTTGTCTTTATAATGATGGATATTCGTTACATTCACATATAAAACTAGGACAATTAAAACAAATTTTTCCCTTTTATAAACTGTAAAAACTAGACAATTTAGTCAGACAAACTGCAGGCCACGGTCTGTTATAAAAATGGAGCTTACAGTGTTTGCCATGGCATGGTATGACAAGTTTCTTTCCAATTTAAATGTTGAATTTAAAATGTGGAAAAATGCATTTTCTCTTCATGCAATCTGGAATTGAAACTTTGAAAGAAACTGGTTGTAAACAGGTTTCCGTTCTACAGAGTTTACAATTAGAGGATTTTAGTTGAGCGTGTTCTGCGTATTTCAATCCACAATATCGGTTCCATTGTTCTTACTCCGAATCTAACCCAGAGAAACTTAAAATACTAAAGAAAAAAAAATAAATTTAAAAAAACTTAAAACTTGTAAAATTAGAAAAAATATTTAACAAACGAAAAATTCCTAGGGAGGAAAATAAATATTATCAAGGAAACTAAATGAATAATAAAGCAAAACTACAAAAACTCAGTTAAGAAAACTAGAAAAAAAACTGAAGAAAAGTAGAGAAAACTGAAGAAAACTAAACAGATCTAAAGAAAATGGAGTAAAACGAATTAAAAACTAAAGAAAACTAAAGAAGTCTAATGAAAACTATAGAAAATTAGGAAAAACTAAAGAAATTACAAAAGAAAACTAAAGAAAAATGAAGAAAACTAATAAATACTAAAGAAAATTAACAGAAACTTAGAAAATTCAAAATAACTAAATATAAACTGAAAAAAACGAAAGAAAAACTAAACAACTAAAGAAAGTTGTAGGAAACTATAGAAAACAAAAGCTAAATAAGGAAACCGAAGAAAACTAAAGAACACTAAGGAAGACTAAATAAAACTTGACAAAATTTAAGAAAAACTAAAGGAAGTTAGAAAAACTGCAAAAAAACTAAAAAGAAGGTAAAGAAAACTAAAGAAAACTAAAGACAGCTAGAAAAAATTACAGAAAACTAAAGAAAACTAAAGAAAATTAGGAAAACTAAAGAAAATTAGGAAAACTAAAGAAAATTAAGAAAAACTAGAGAAACAAAAATCAGATATATGTTTAGAAAGAAAAATCAAGGAAAATGCGGTCTCAAGATGATAGGGAAGAAAATATCAGAAAACAATTTCGATATTTCCTTTTCAATATGGTTGGATAGCATTGAGTGGTCAGTCTTAGTAATAAATATTTCTCCTTAAAAAATCTTTTAAACCAAAAAGAATGTACTTTCTTTTGTAGAAATTTTTATGATTTTATTTTTACGTAATTTTGATTTTAAAAAGTTATGAAAGACCATTTTCTTCTTATTTAATCTCAAAAGAAACTTTGATAGTTTTCTGTCATTACTCAAATTATAAAATATTCTAGTCATGCAATACACTCATAAAAAACTATTACCACTATCACGTTCAGCGAGCCGGAAACTGTAAACGATAAAACTTGGTTTCAAAAACCAAGAGAGGGAGAAAGACGTTTAACTACAATATATCATATGTTTTCTTCTTGTCAAATTTCTTATTGAGGACTAATCATAAAATTAAAAGAAAGAAATTATATGGTTTCTAAAACTAAAACTTAATAGTTCTAAAGTTTCTCCTTCTTCATACAATAAAGTTAAATGGTTAACTCTTTAGACAAAACAATTATAAAAAAAACAAGAATAAAGGTTAAACCGATATAAAAGAAAAAATATTGTTTTATATTCTTGAGTAAAAACTTTTTCATGTGAAATAAAATGAAAATTGAACCCTGATAAATTTTGTAAATTTTGAAATTAAAAAATTAATGATTACTTTAAAAAATATAAATAAAAATAAGAATTGTGGGACAAAGATTTAAAGATTAAATTCAATTTTCAACAATTGAACAAAAAATAAAATCTTGACTCTTTTTTGCTTGACTGAATCTTCGCCTTTAATACTTCAAACGTTAAATATTTTAATCAACATTTCTTAATAGTGTGAAATATCAAAGGTACACGACAACAGGTTACAAAGATATAGGGGTTGGAAAATTAGAATGTGTGGCGAGTATCAGTTCCTTTGAAATCAACAAGAATTGCTAAATATGTCGCAAATTTTTGAAGAAGACGACATTCTCTTCTAGTCCCTCTCTTCATAACAATTTAAAGGTGTATGTTAAGATACATTTCATGAAAATATAGCAATACCCGTTTCACATCAGTTTCTTTAAAATCTTTATCTGATCAAAATGTGGAAGATATTCTTGATTTTATAGGTTTTAAAGCGTTTTATTCTGATCGAACATAACAGTTGTCCTGCATAAAAAATCACTTTTGTAGAGAAACCCCAGTTAAAAATTATAAACATTTATAAAATTTAGGACTTGAACATTGAACAGACAACATTTAGGAGGATACCGTTTTGCATGGAGGGTCACTGTAAATTACGCTTACAGTCCCTTTAAACAATTAATTTCCTCTTTAAAAAGAATCTAAATATTTTCAAGGTTATTGGATATATAGGGTTTTCCGTTAACAGCAATTAATTATTGAATTCTCAGTTCCGTGAGAAATCGTATTTATCAACATCGAGTTTAAAGAGTTTGCTTTCATCCTAGTAAACTAATAATAATATTCTCTTTATACAGAGTTCAAACTTTTACTTCAAAGAAGGATTTGTGGCAATTTGGTTTCTATAGGCGAGGTCTTAAATAATTTCTTTACATGGTGAACTACATTATAGTAATATAAATCATGAATTGAAGTGTTCCTAGGCCTTTGCTTGTATCTTACCACAAAGGAATTGAGTCTTTGCCACAAACTCAAATTTTATAATCTCTAATCTTTGCTACCTAATGAGGTAAACTTAGATATTTCAAACTTAGAATTCGGCTAGAACAAATAATCTAAGTTTGATAACTATCCAAGGTTTACATCTTTAGGTTGCAAAGATATGGGGATTGTAAAATTTGAGTTTGTAGCAAAGACTCAATTCCTTTTGGAGGAACACAAGAACAAGAAAACATTCCGAGAGTAGCTAAAACATTTTGTGTACGTTTTGTTATTCAAATTGGAAGAAGTCAAACGGGACTGATTACTCTCCTTAAACACTTATTTTTAAAATCTTATATCTTTGCAACCCGATGTAGTCGAACATTGGTATTTCAAGCTGAAGGTTATATATTCAAAGGTTTAGCCACGGATAAAAACATTATAGATCTATTGATGTTGATAATCTCCATGGTAACGTTTGTTAATATTTTTGCTATAGATCATATTACTTTGAATTAAACGTAACACAACACAATCCAATATCACCATAATGTTTGTTAGTAACTTCCCTTTTACATACATACATTCAAAATACTATTATTAGTAAGAATTTCTAAATTTATTTCATACTTAAATGCATTTATGTACCTTGGTTTGTACATCTGTCACATTTTATGTTTAAACATAAAACAGAAAAAAATATATAAATGCGCTAGTACTAAAACAAAACAAAAGTTTTACTTAAAAAAGTCGTCGTCAAACGGATCCTCAGCTGCTGAAAATATATTCACAGAATCTGATTTAGAAACTTTGGTTTTTGCTTCGATTCTAAATTCAGATTCTTTAAATATATCGTATTCTTCTCCTCTCTCAAACCTATCATCCCTCTCCCCTCTCTCAAACATGTTCATTGAAGAGTTTAAAAAGTCTCCGCTTTGAAAACTGAGTTCACTGTGATTACTGATCCTATCTCCTTCAAATACTGGAGGAGTGGCTGAGTCAGTTCTACAGTTGTTTGTTGTAACAAAGTTATCATTGAAAGGATTATTAAACATGTTTTCAGAACTTGTTGCAGAATTCCGTCCGGAGTATTCTTGGGGAAATGCTTCTTCAAGATTAGAATGTTTAACAGCTAAACGTTTAGGACTGTTTTCCTCCTTCTGAAAGCTAAGATCCCAGGAGTCAGGTTTACCAAAATATTCATTCTCCGTCTGGTTTCTGGTGTAAAAAGCAGGTTCCCATTCAGATTCAAATGCATCCTCTTCCTGGGTTAGCCGCTGGTTTTTAAAACTGGGTTTTGCAACTTTTTGAACCACAGGCGGTTGATCGAACCGTTTAAAGTTCTGGTATCTGGCCTGAAATGATATGGTAGTTGGAAGATCACGTAAAGATTTTGGACTTTGTATTGAAAATTTCCCTCTCTGCTCCTGCTCTTCGATTTCATCTCTTCCGCCCTGGTTTTCATCCAACTTGGCGTAAGAATCCTTCCGCATAAATTCAGGTTTAAACTTGGAAATCTTGTTCCCTGTCTTTTCCTGCTCATCATTGTTTATAAAATTGGAAAATTCTGCATCTTGTCTTGACGGATCTTCAAAAGTGGCCCAAGTTATAGACTCGTTATTTTCTTTATACGTATCATTCACATCAGTCGCATCATTCGCATCATTCATATCAGCAACACCAGTCACATCATTTATATCATTCATATCATTCCCTTCATTTACATCATTCACTTCATTAAATTCTTTCTTATTTTCAAGATCCATGTCCAGATCTATGTCATAATTATCCAACTTGCTTGCATGATCCAAACTATCTTGCTCATCGATAAATTCCTGATTTTGCTGAACAGGACTAATTACCGGAGAGAAAATCATTGTATTTTGTTCAAACATACTTCTATCTTCGTCTTCAGCATCTAGAAATGTGTCTTCTTTCTCCTCCGTGAATGTTTCCTGTTCTTCTTCGATCTCAGTTTCTTGAATTATGAGATCTCCGTTGATATCTTTAGTTTCCTCCGTAGGACTTTTCCAAGCATTGACCAGTTCCTCCTCCAGTTGTAGTTCCCTGAACACAGCATATCTATCATAGGTTTCACATTTCTCCGGCACAGTAACACTTAAATTAGGACTTTTAAACACCAGTGCTTCCTCCTTCTTGGAGTTTGGATTAAAATGTGAAAAGTCGTCTTCGAACCCAAATCCGCTCCGCTCCGGTAAATTTCGTGGAGACGTGTTTGTCTGTGATGAGCTAGGATTGTGTGATGAGCTGGATATACTGTTTAATGAGTATGTACTACCCTGAACATATATATCCTGAACATTATTCTCTGGATTCATGCTGAGAAGAGATGGATGTTCCTCATCAAGTTTCTGCTGAACTCCAGGTCCAGTTAGACCCTGAGACCCAGGTTCAGGAGCATATCTGGGAGTGTAGTATTGAGTAGGTGGTTGGGTAGATTCTGAGGACCCGGAGAATATCTCTGGGGGACAAATAACTGTTGTTCTCAAACTTACTTCTTCTTTCTGTCTTGGTTCTGAAGGTTCTGTGCTCCCATGTTTACCGATGTAGTCAACAAGTTCAAACAAAGACATTCCGCTCAAATACCTTGGAAGCTTTCCTTCACTCAACTTCTGGCTTAGTTCGATCATATTCATCTTAACAAGATCTTGCAATGATATTTCAGGTTCGGCTACGTGTATATTAGATTCATACTGATACAGAGAAACATCCTCATACATCTCAGAAGTTCCAGTTCTTAAAATAGGAATAATGTCATGGGTTTGATCAGGTTTTACCTCAGTGATATTTTTAGATCCTTCCCGAGGTTCTGGACCACGGACTGTTGGATAGGAGTTCACGCACAATGGATAAAGTTGCTTTTTCGGAGGTAAAGGTGGAGGAGAGAGGGAGGAAGATTTCGGAGGCCGCTCAGGGAGCGCTGGAGGAGGTTCAGGTGGCATAGGGATATTAAGAGAAGAATCAACACTTGAATCCTTTCCATCTCCGTATCTACTAGAGCAGGACGGAGAATCTTGGCTGGTTGAATACAAATCATGAAGATCATTCTGTCTGTAGCGTCGAGGTGATGCCTCCAGCTCTAGAATAGAACCGTAGGAGGAGCTGTGAGGGTTTAATCCTAGATCTCCCGGAGACACTGAACCTCTCCCTTCCTCAGGAGGCAGTGCAACCCTCAGAGAATTCTCTGAAATCCTACGCTGTTGGGTCTGATTAAAAGGACTAGACAAGGACTGGACATTGTTAGTTTTAAAAAACTCAGATTGTTGGTTAGTTGATGATTCCCAAGGAATATCTACAAACCCTACATTAGACAAGGAGTCCTGAGAAGCTCCTCCTCCTCCCGTCCTAGGAGATCCGTTCATTGAAAACACATCTGGAGAATCCGTGAAGGATTTATGCTTCCCTGATCCTAGCGGATCCAAATCCGTGAATAAAGAGTCAAGTTTATCAGCAGGGGCACCAGGTTTGCTGTCCTGTAAACATTTGTAAAACTTTATTCAAAATTTTGTCAAGTTGACAGTTCTAGATTAAACTTTTGATATTTCAAATTTCAAGGGACAAACATAAAAGATAAGCTTTGCGCATTCTAATTTCAGAACAAAAGGAAAATAACTTTTATGTAAATATTTCAGCAATGGAGAAAATAGGTAGGGGTGTCTTCATTCCAGAGCCAGTTTTTCTTTCTTAATTTTTTTAGGGGAAGTCAAGAGAATGTGAAGTGACCCCTAAATTAAAGAGTTGTATGTCGATTCACAACTTTACTATTTACATCTTTTTTGATTAACACTTAACAGTAGGAAAGGTTTCATCGATTTTCATAAAAAGTGTTTAATTGTGTTAATATACCGGGAAAAATCTTCAAAAAAATTTGAAAATTGCGGAACCCTGCAAACATTTTATCTCCGACAAACCGATGGCGAACATGATAAAGTCCAGAATTATTTACCCGACATCTCGCCATGGGCACATATAGTCGGTTAGAATGTTTCCGGGGAATACAAAAATCTTAGATTATGTTTTAATAAAGTACCTGGATATTATGGATAGCATTATATACATTGGATTGCTGGGCAGGAAATCCAGCAGATTGTATTGGAAATCCAGTAGGTTGGGTATTGAATCCAGTGGTTTGGTTTGGAAATCCTGGAGGTTGGGTTTGGAAAGAAAAAGCTTGCGGAAACTGCTGTTGAGAGGGTTGCGGATATCTGCCAGCCACTCTTTCCGGCGGAAACACGGCGGTAGAAAACCCACTAGGAGTAAATGCACCGGAAGAAAATCCATTGGAGGAAAATCCTCCAGACGGAAATTCGCTAGTTTGAGAAAATGCCGCGTCTCCATTTCCAAAACTGTTTTGGGAAGGAAAGGTTTGAGGGAAAGTGCTGGTTTGGGAAAAAATAGCAGGTTGGGTTTCGGTGTTCAGTGACGGAGGAATTGTAAATATGCTCGGGAATGTATCTCCTCCTCCTAAATAGTTATATAAAAACAAAATGTTTGATTTTAGAAGAAGATAAGAAGAATTCGTTTACCTGTAGTGCTCTGCGGGGGAGCAAATGATTCAAGAGCCGCGTAGCGGTCATCTCTCTTCCCTCCTTTGGAAGGTGGAGGAGGGAGGAAAGGAGCTGTTCTAAACCCTTCAGGTTTAGGATTAGTATTCATCACTGCAACAGGTTTCCGAGGAAGCGGAGCAGGGATTGGAGGAGAAGTGGTTGCAGGGAGAGAGAAGGTTATCATGGAGTCAGTTTGGAAACTGTTTGGTGGGGTCGGAGTTATCTTATCAATCTGCTGGATACCAGCCTAAACAACAGAGGAATTTGTCAAACCTGAACTCGATCTCAATGTCTAAACTTTTGAACTACAAATCTTTGGCTTTAGTTAAACCGCCAGGGTAGAGAATATGATTTCGATCTGATTCAAAACATGGAATCTGCTGAAAAAGTTCATATACTTTGACATAAAATGTTATTGCATTTTACACATGTGAATCATATCTGTAAGAATGCAAGCATGTATAACAGGTTTAAGAGAATTTATAGAGAATTAATTAATTTTCAAGATAACTGTTTTTCAAATACCAGTTCCAGGATACTATGGTATGGCAACGGTACAATAACATTGCGATTTTATACTGTGCTACTCTATATATCTATATATGTAAAGTAGTATTCTCTGTTTGTATGTCTGGATATCCGACTTGGACCGATTTTCCTCAAGATTTTATTGGGAACCCGGTAGAACTGCGGGAAGGTTTCAGTTTGGTTTTGAGATTCTTTGTCGACTTTATAATAATGAAAAAAGCTAAAATCGTAATTTACGATCAAGTGCGGGTAAACGGCGGGAGTAACTATAAGTAACCTGGGCAACGCAGGGTTCCCGGGCTACTCTGTTGAAAAAATACCAATACCTGAATAGCTGTAATCTCACTGACCAGCCCTAAAAGATCATCAACAGCTGTTTGCTGCTCAGGCTGACCAGCAGCTGCTGGAAAGGAGGCAGCACTTCCTACTTTATGCTCCTTCAAATAAATAAAATGAATTCATGTCAACATGAAAGTATGTATATTGGGTTAAATTCCATGTGTGTATAACCACACTTGAGTTAATTGAAACCATGAATATTTAATCATTTTAAATTGTTCAATCAAAATAAAATTCAAGTTAAAAATACTATTTTACCTCTCCTTTGTCCATATTACTTTTAGCTTCTTCTATTTCCTTTTTCTTGAGTTCGAAGACGACCTGGAAAAGATCCCGCATCGCAACAACAACCTGTCCCGCGGCCTTCTCAGTCTTTATTCCGAAAAATCTAAAAAAAATTAATTTTAACAAATCATTAATAGTTCGTCTTGACGACCCTCATTTTATAGTCTGGCATGTCTGATTCACTTCCTTGAAACCTTTATCTGAGCAACAATGAGGAAGATATTTATGAAGCATGAAAGGGAGAGTTCGCGAAAAATGAATGAGGGTATAGGATTACGTCGAAAAATATTTGATGGTGATTGCTACTAATCTTACCTCTATCAGTTTGCGTCTATTAGGAGAAAATGGTAAAATACGACTCATACAAGAACGTTTAGCATCATTCAAATCCATAAAAATGCAATATTCAACTGGGATCGTAAAAAAATCAATTTAATTCCAAACAAATCATTCAGATATTAGCAATTATAATCATCGACTTTTTTCGACGAATTCATATAGTTGATATTTCATAATATGTTTTACTTTTTTCATATGTTTAAAACAGTAAAATATATTATGAAATATCAACTATATACAAATGCGTCGAAAAAAAAATCGATTGTAATATCTGAATTATTTGTTTGATTTGTTTAGACATAAATTGATTTTTTACGATCCAAGTTGAATATAGCAACTTTCTGAATTTGTATGGTTGCTACGTTCTTCAGTATGAGTCAATACCCCCTTCCGTTTTTTACGAACACTCCCTTTAATCTACAAGTCACTATCATAGGGAGAACTCAAAATTTAAAATGATCAATTTTGTATCTAGAAAAGCAAGGATATTTCATTTATTCTCGACAAAATAAAGGTTTTAAAGAACTGTTATAAATCTGGCACGACATTCTCTAAACTGAAGATCTTCTACACAGTTTCTTTAAATTCATCTTTTTATATGTTTTCAAAACACAAGTTTCATTGATTGATAAAGATTCTAATATAATTTATATCCAAAAATAGTTCAAGAATATGATTTCTTTTTACTCCCCGGAAACAATAATAAGGAAAGTTCGTAATGTAATCTTCAGTTTGTTGTTGAATTGAATAAGGAAATTGATTAAGACATTTATTTTTTGGAACCGGGAAAGAACTTGTTAATTCTTATTATAATATCCCAGAAAAGAGAATTCAATACATTTTTTTTGTAATTTCGCTTTCTAAACCGATTTATTATCAATTGCCAAAAAGAAAGTTTGATAATGTTTAAGTAAAAATTAAGTAAAAATACATAATCCATTTGATCATATAATTCCAGCGGAATTAACTAATAACAAATATATTGTCTACGCTATATCTGAACTAATTAATCAAAAAACTTGGCTTAGTTAGAAAGTCAAAGTCTGATAATAAATCATCTCTTTCCTAATTCTTTAATCAATCAACACTTGGTCTCGGTTAAACACATTTCTCCTATTCTTAAGATCACTAGGCATTATGGGAGATGCGCGGAGCCGCCAATTTTTCTTTGTAACTGTGAAACTCAATATTTTGCGTTTTTTCTGTGCAGAAGTGTTAGAACTTGAGGCAAGTAATCAGTTTCTTACAAAATCCGACCTGTGCCCATTCTCCGGAGATCCATAAATATATCCAAAAGCTCGTATATCCGTCATATCCTGAGCTATGAAACTGATCTTGTGAACAGGATGATGATATAAACAATCCTAAACATAAACTCTGATTAACCAAGAGATATTGGTTTTCAATGAAAGTTTCAAGTTTTGACATATATCTGATACTTCATGTAATTCAAAGAATAGAATGAAATTCGAAATGTTTCTATTCTTTCATTTTGCAGAATAGAACATTTTTTTTCTTTTGAACCAAAAATTGCTAAAATTCGCGTTTTTCTTATTTCTAGTTTGTAATAATAATAATAATAATAAATGTATTTCAAACTAGATTGATTGATACATTACATTTTATGGTCAATGTATATACATATATAAGTTGTCGAAAAATTAAAATCTGTTACAGTTACATATATAGTCTTTCTCCAGTTTGAGGACTAACAGAGTCTAAAGACTGTTTGAGTTAGCCATAAAATATTTTTTGGGCTGATCCTTTTGTGAATATATCCATATTACATCTTTATCAAATCTATATCTATATTCTATACATATACCTATATATATATACAAAGCTATAATCTCTATTTGTCTGTCTGTTTGTTTGTCCGATTATAACTCAGGAAGCCCTGGTCTGATTTGCCTCAAATTTTGATTGGGGAACTCGGGAGAGCCACGGAAATGTTCTTAGGTTGGTTTTGAGATTCTAAGTTTAGTGGGTAGACTTTCATCGGGGAAAATATCTAAAATCGTAATTTACGACAATGGGCGTGCAAAACGTCAAACAGTTGGACTAACTGGGCCCCAAGCTAGTATATATATATATATATATATACTAAGCAGAGTATACGCAACCGCAATTAACTTTCCTTGCATTACATTCTTGCACAATTGTATTTTTGTACTGTATGCAAGTGTGCAAGGTGCAACAAGTTACCGATGGCATTATATTGGTATATAAGCCGATAACTGTACACTGTACAGTGTACAGTGTACAGTGTACACTGTACAGTGCACACATGCAGTGCTCTTGAGTATGTTTCTTGTAATGTATAAAGAAAAGTGTCTTACAACAGACTAAGATCGCACACTAAACTAAGTAAATTCGTATCTATTCCATTATTTCTCAAGAAGATATACTTTTATACATTAACAATTGGATTACGCGTTTATGTCACATGATCAAGAATAAAGGATTTATATCAAGAATAAAGGATCTAGATAAGAAATAAAGGATCAATATCAAGAATAAAGGATCTAGATCAAGTAAAGTATCTAGATCAAGAATAAAGGATCAAGATTAAGAAGATCAAGAATCAAATAAAGAACCTACCCCTGTTTTCTCATCCCTTATTTTAAGACCGTCCACAGCTATTTGCATAATTACTTTCTGCTTGTGTTCTCCACTTGCCTATAATATATCAAGTGAGTGTCTGAACTCTGTAATCAGTACATTGACCGTATAGAGAGTGTCGTTCCCAATTCACAAGAGTACCTATTATCTGATTAATAATGTGGAAGATATCGTTGTTATTTTTAACATTTTCCACTATCTGCAGAAAAAATTTGAAAGTCACTTTTATAGATAAACCAGAAATAAAAAATAAGCAATCTTTTAAACAGAAATTACGAATATTTCATTCTTGATAAGATAAAGCTTTCAAGGGTATCGTTGTGGATCAGACAGGGCACTCTTTAAATGGATCGAGAGTAACCTAAAATTACGCTTAGCGTCCTTTTAACTGAAAAAAGTCAGCATAATCTCGTTTAAATCTAAACATCGTGAAAACCAACCTTTATCGCCATTTTGAGTTCCTGAAGAGCATCCTGGCACATCCTGTCCCCCCTGGCCTCCCTCACCTCCAGGACTCCGATCAACTTCCCCTTGAAGGTCTGTCCTTCTCCCAGAAACTTCTGCTCGTTTCCACCCCGCCCTGGATATACACAAATATAGTTTCCACCCCGCCCTGGATATACACAAATATAGTTTCCACCCCGCCCTGGATATACACAAATATAGTTTCCACTCCGCCCTGGATATACACAAATATATAGTTTCCACCCCGCCCTGGATATAATATTTCAAAACACTCGTTTTTTTTAAATAAATGTTAGAAATATCCATTTTAGATCTCTTTATTTTATTATAGTGACTTTTCAAGTCAACAATACTTTATATGATATGTCTATACAATTATTTACTAAAGCTGTTTCCTCAGATCAGAGATAAGACCTGAGGATAAGACCATCCAAATAATCAAATTTAACCTTCTTTGAAAATTTTTTGTCATGAGTTAAGATTCTCAGAATAAACTGATTTGTTGTTCTTTCGCATAAATATGTAGATATCATTACATTCGTCATACATGCAAAATAACAAATATGTTCCAGTACGTTTTAAAAAATCAATTCTTTGCAGAAACATTGTCTCAGTTTCGATATTTTGTCCAGACAATTCAATATCAGTGAACGTGAGTAGTTAAATCAAAATTATTAACATTTTCTGTCTTTCAATGTTGTAAAATTTGACCAAAAACTAAATTATGAAAATGTTACATGTACCATACAGAACCAAAATTCAGGGTAAAGCGAACTTTCACTTTAAAATTGAATTCAAGCTTAAATTATAAGTATAGTTGTCAAATTAGAAAATAACGAAATTACTTGTTTTTATATTTTGCTATGATTAAAGAAAAATTCTATGCAGGGGGGCTCTGAGCCCTGCAACCCCCCGCCTCATTCACTACGTTTCACTCGGTGCTCCTGGTCCCATACTGTAACACTCTTCTTTTTACCCCCCTTGAGAAAATCCTGGCTACGGTCTTGATCCAATATGGCACTTTGAGGATTAATGCTTAATCCTTGGATTAAAGTTATCCCTGCCAGGTCGAAGTGAATGTCATGGGATATCGAATTAAGAGGAATTATATTAATCCGTTCACAAGATGGAGATTAATGGTTCAGATTTACAACACAACAGTTCTGATCTCTAAATATATATCAGTGAAAACAATTACAAATTACAAAGCCTTAGTGACATTTCTTAGCAAAAAGAAGGAAGAAAGTGACAGTAATTTATCTGGTTTCTGGATACCTTTTACTCTATGGGATGGTATTCAACCAGGTTGCAAATAACCTTAAAATGGGAAGTTCTCAATTTAATAATAAAGGCGTGCTACGGGTGTGCTTTACATCCAAAGAGAATAGATTATATTCTATTCTCTTTGTTTACATCCCGCACCCTCAATTAAGCTTTCGGTGCGTACTTCACTGATCTGCAGTACACTGACCGAAGAAATCGTGAGTTTTTGCGGAGAATGATCCATCTTTGGTTTAGAGTAAGAAACCCTGACATTACAGAACTATAAATAAACCTAAATATCTTCATGTTTCAGAAACCCTGACATTACAGAACTATAAATAAACCTAAATATTTTCATGTTTCAGAACATTTAACAATATCCGAATTAATGTCATAAAACAATAATATTGTAATAGCGAAACTATTTTCCATTTGATTCAACAGTTTCGCTATACTCACACAATTGCAAGGATTTAATGCAAGGAAAGTTATTTTAGAGGTGTACGCACCTTTTGTACTGCAGTGTACTGTCACTGAGCGTTAATGTAAACACAAGACGAATGTCGAAGCCTGATATGGGATTCATCTTTCACATATATATATTCAGGTCTATAGGAAACTATTATGTGAACAAATATATAGTTTCCAACCCGCCCTGGATATACATAAATATAGTTTCCACTCCGCCCTAGATATACACAAAAATGGTACCAGTACAAACGTCGGACGCACAAACGTCCGACGCCATAAACGTCGGACAGTACAAACGTCGGACGCACAAACGTCGGACCAGTACAAACTTCGGACTATTACAAACGTCGGACTGGTACAAACGTCGGACCAGTACAAACGTCGGACGGGTACATTTATAAGAAAAAACGTCGGACTTGGTAGATTTTGAATGGACCATTGTTTTAAAAATTTCAAACTATGAATTCTACAAGATTATACAGTTTAATCCCTATATCTTTGCAACCCGATGTTGTAGATGTTTCCAAGAACAGTTCGTGGACTTATTGCTATATTTCCAGAGCTTTCTTTGACTACTTGTTTTTCTATTTCACGTACTCTTTTCTTCAAAAGATCACTCTCATGTGTATGCTCTCCCAGGAAACTGATAATCTTGTCATTCTCAAGAATTGCTTTCATTTGAATGCATTGGTAATAGGTTTTGTTGGGTTTCTTCTTTGTTTATATAGAGTTAAAAAAATTCGAATTTTTTTCCCTCAAAAATCTAATTTTTTTAAAATTCCCCTGGCAACGCCGGGCAGTTCAGCTAGTTATTTATAATCCGAAAATAACAGTTTTGCCTCAAACTCTAATTATTTAATCCCAATTTCTTTGCAACCTGACGACGTTGATATTCCAAACTATAAATTATGTTTGGTGAAAGAGTCTTATTTGAAATATCCAAGGTTTAGGTTTCAAAGATATAGGAATTAGAAAATTTGAGTTTGTGGCTAAAACACAATTCCTTAATAAAAGAAATAATTGTTAGCAAAACTTTAAAAAATGGCTATTGTAAATTTAATAATTACTTAAAATTTAAAATTGAATAAAATTCACTATTTTTAAGTAAATACTTTTTTCTATCCATTTCCTTTAGCTCTTTCTTACTAATCTTACATTTGATATGTGGATTCTTCTTTCTACCAAGGGTTGGAATATTATGCATTTTTAACTTTTTTAGACTCGTCTCCGTCTTGTAGATAGATACATCTTTTCCAACTTTTCTCTCATATATTACAGGATAAATACGGGATAAATAAACATATATATTTATTGTCGGCGTGTAGAAGAATACATAAACTGGTTGGTATCAGCTGAGCCGGATCGATCTTTAAAGCTTTCCCTCTGGGGGAAAGCATTCATTGTAAGGGAGGAGGTGGGGGGGGGGGACCATACCTCGGGATAGGGCGGGGGGAAATCTCGAATGATGATTTTTGAATTTAAGAATGACATTTTAAAATATGTCGGTCAAATTTTGTGCACAAATAAATACACCCTTAAAAATATTTGGAATTTTTCGTAATAATTTTTACCGCAGAAGATAGCAAAATGCGTATTTAAGTCATCGCTTGGTTTTAATCACTTGTTCTTTATTTGTTTTGTAATGGAGTCATGCTTTGCGTTTAAATGGGGGTATAGGACGACGTATGACGGGTATAATACGGGTATCGGACGGCCTTTAGAACTGGGGACGATGCAAACGGTTGTAGGACGGTTAGGATTGGTTTAGAACGGATGCAGGACGTTTGACGATGTCAATGCATCTAGGACGAATGACGATGGCAGGTGTAGAACGAAGAACAATGACGAATGTAGAATGGGACTAGAGCTAAGGACAAGAACGAGTGTAGGACGATGGCAGGTGTAGAACGAAGAACGATGACGAATGTAGAATGGGATAAGAGCAAAGGAAAGAACGGGTGTAGGACGAATAAATCAGTATTTCCCACCTTCTTCCTCCTCCTCTACAGTCTTCTTCTCCTCTTCCTTCTCCTGTACTCCAGGATCTTTAGCTCGGGAGAAGAGAGAGAAGAAACTTTTCTTAGTTCCTTGACTAGTCTGCTCTCCATCCTTCCGTTCTTCTCCTGCTACCGGGGCATCCTGGATACACACATTATTCGAATAATATTAACTTTCTGATCACGTTAAGAATCCGGTTTTTTTGCCTCTAACTCGACTTTATTATCCAGTTTATCTTTGCAACCCGATGTTTTCAAACTATGAATTCTATTAGATTAAGTCTAAGTTTTGAGATATGAAAGCTTTTCACCATTAGGTTGCAAAGATGTAGGAATTAAAAAATAGATTTTCTATCAAGATCGATGTTTGGGTTTAAAACTCATTAAGACTTAACCTCAGAACCCATTTTTTTACATGAAAAGAATATTTTATGTTTATACTATTTTGTTTGTCTAACCGTTTTAAATATTAAAGAATATAAGATCAATTATGATTTGCTTAATGCTTATAATTGACAAATTAATTTTGAAAGTAAAGACTCTCGATATTTAAATATGGACAATCCTAATTATTGAGCTAATCAAAAGTTAATGATATAAGATGGTTTTTTTAAAAAAATGGGAATGAATTTGAAATGGCAAAAACTTACATTATACTAAACCTGACAAATTGTTTTTATTCCTACCAGTTTTCTTTTACTTCAAACGTAATCCTTTTCTTTAAAATAAAATAAAGTTACCATTTTTTCTCTCTCGTTCTCCCCCTCACTCGTCTCCTCCTCCTCCTCCTCATTCTCCTCCAGGTAGAAGGAAGAATGGTTTCCGCTCTCCAGGGGAAACTCTTCAACCAATCCTGCAACAACAACAACAGTTCGGAGAATTCTACAACACCAGGAGTTCTCTTCTTATAGTGTACTATAGAGTAGAGACCGAATTTAATGAATTTGAGCTACGTCACTGAATCACCTACTGCCGGTTTAAATCTAAACCACCGATTTAAATCTAAATATTCAGTAATTGAATTTGAATCGGTGATTCAAATGTAAACCGGCAGAGCTAGGCAGTTCAAATTGATTAAATTCTGTCTCTGGGGTTAAGTTAGTGTACCAGGAGTTATTGGTTCTACCATGGCAATGAAGGGTAAACTTGAATCAAGCTCAGCACCCGTTGGGGAATGAAAACCACCTGAAATCAATCGATAGGGAGCCGGGAGGAATGGTATTCATACAAAATAGATTCTATCAAAGAGAAAAAGATACTTTTGCCTTTTCTCATCATTTCATCATTGACTGGGGGGAATTTTTCACTAAACGTTGCCGTTCTTATAACAGGGTCAACATTTTGTATTTTTAAATTTTGTATGAACAGGCCTCACCTGCAGGGATGGATGAGAGATCGGAACAGGAGAGGAGAACGGAACCTGAACCTGAGCCTGAAATATACAATAAATATGTTCAAAAATATCAAAAGAATAAAATCTCACTTAAAATGCAGTCTATTTGAGAAACAAAATTTCCAAATACCTGGTTAGGTGGTGGAGGAGCTGTTCTTAGTCCTGCTTGTATTCCTGAACCTACCTGGAGTACAGAATATACTCCAGGATTGTATTGCATTTGAGGGATCTGAACCCCTAACCCTGGACCATTAAACGGGTTCATTCCCATTCCCATTTTGTTATTAGGAGCCGGTAATCCTCCCATATGATTTGGCTGAAATCCTCCCATTGGATTTTGTTGATATCCTCCCATTGAAGTTTGTTGATACCCTCCAATTTGATTCTGTTGAAAACCAGGGATGGTGTTTTGCTGTATCCCGTAGGGTGTATTTACCCCTGGAACTTGAAGTGAGGATTGCTGGTATATACTTGCTCCGCCATGAGCTGGAGGAAGGTTTAAGGTGTGAACAGGCTGGTCAAATAGTCCGGACAGATCTGCGCTTGCTCCAGACTGCATTTTGCAGCTGAATAATTTTTTAATCAGAAAACCAAGTTCATCAGTGAAAGAAAACAAAATAGAGGAACTAGAGGAACTAGAGGAGCTAGAGGAACTAGATGAACTAGGGGAACTAGAGGAACTAGAGGAACTAGAGGAACTAGAGGAACTAGAGAAACTAGAGGAACTAGAGGAACTAGAGGAACTAGGGGAACTAGAGGAACTAGAGGAGCTAGAGGAACTAGAGGAACTAGAGGAGCAAGAGGAACTAGAGGACCTAGATGAACTAGAGGAACTAGAGGAACTAGAGGAACTAAAGGAGCTACAGGAACTAGAGAAACTAGAGGAGCTAAAGGAACTAGAGAAACTAGAGAAGCTAGAGGAACTAGAGGAACTAGAGTAATAGAGGAACTAGAGGAACTAGAGGAACTAGAGGAACTAGGGGAACTAGAGGAAACTAGAGGAACTAGAGGAACTAGAGTAATAGAGGAACTAGAGGAACTAGAGGAACTAGAGGAACTAGAGGAACTAGAGGGTATATATAAAAGAACCATAGAAAAATGAAAAACTATTTATATTCTATTTAGGTATGTATCTCTATATCTATGTACTCGTATCTAGCTCTGGAAGTACTGAAGAGACTAGATACTGAAGGACGAAAACTCCCCTATCCTCTCTATTATGCTGCACTGTGTTAGTGCATACATAGAGTAAGGTTGGCTTGATAAAGAATTTAGGGAAATCTGAAACAGAATTAAATCATATGGATTACATAGAATCAGAAAAATTTAAAATAATTAAGATTTATTTTGTTAAAGGGCTCAGTCTTAGAAAAATAAAAACATTTTAGTGAATACTTCTAACCCCGTCCCCTTTTTCTTGCCCTTATTTTGACTAATTACATAATCTAAATTCTAAAAATGCTTCATTAAGTATATAAAAACACTTTAAAAATATGACATGCTTACCAGGCCGGTGTTGGGTACTTATATATGTATTTTGAAGTGTAATGAACTTTATTGGAGTTAACGGGCCTGTAAGCGTTTTTTTTAATATGAGTATTTATGCAAAGATGGCAATGTTTAATTTACAACGGTGTCTTTAAAAGCTTTGTCTGATCAAGTATGAATTGAATATCCACGGTTTAGTTTCTTTAAATTGTTTATTTTAATTTGCGGTTTCTCTGCAAAAAATGAGAAAATCATAGAAATGAACACTTTTCTGGTCAAAGTATGAACTGGAGTGTACTGTATTATACTGTATTGTAATTTGTACTTTGGCAAACTGAAGTGTACTGGACTGTACTGAAGTGCACTGAAGGGTACTGAAGGGTACTGAAGTGTACCCTAGAGTACTGGGGTGAGCTTCCATGAACTTCAATGTACAAGAGCGTACTTTAGTATTCTGGAGTGGACTGCAATGAACTTGAATGTACTTCAGTGTACTAGAGTGTACTCTAGTATTCTTGAGTGTACTACAATGAACTTGAATGTACTATATAGTATATGAATGTCCCATGGGAATGATTGAAACACTGAACAGGGAATATATTATGTAGAGCTAGCGCAGAATATTAATCAGATAATTTCTAACATACAGTTTCAGACCCAATGATATGAATCAAGAAAAAATATTTTCTAAGAATTTTTTTTGATCAAGCATTTAGGGATTAGGTTAGGTCAACTGAATTAGATTGAGTTGACCGGAACAATAATTTAAACCGGAATAAACTAAATTAAGCCGAAAAGGGCGTTAAAAGGTTGGAATATACTTTATTAAACTGAAATTTTACCGGAATAGAATGGAATAGAAAACGAATTACGTTGTATAGTGTTGCGCAGGCTGCAATTTAATTGGAATATAATGATTTAGGTTTGAACAATATGTAATAAGCTGGAATTTTACTGGAATAGAATGAATTAGGTTGGAATAGTGTTGAATAGACATGAATTTTACTGAAAAATGAATTAGTTGGAATACTGTTGAATAGGCTAGAATTGTACTGGAATAGTGTTGAAATTAGGTAGGAATAGACTAAAGTAGACTACATGTTAGGATTGTGCGAACTAGAATGATTGGAATAGACTATAGTAGACTACATTTTAGGATTGTGTAAACTAGAATGATTGGAATAGACTAAAGTAGACTACATTTTAGGATTTTGCGAACTAGAATGATTGGAATAGACTATTGCGAACTAGAATGATTGGAATAGACTATATGACTACATTTTAGGATTTTGCGAACTAGAATGATTGGAATAGACTATAGTAGACTACATTTTAGGATTGTGCGAACTAGAATGATTGGAATAGACTATAGTAGACTACATTTTAGGATTTTGCGAACTAGAATCATTGGAATAGACTATAGTAGACTACATTTTAGGATTGTGCGAACTAGAATGATTTGAATAGACTAAAACATACATTATACGTTTTTGAATTTAAGAAAGACATCTTTCTTATAGAGCCCGTATCTGTTCAGTAAAACTTATCCTTTATATAATGTAAAATATAAGAAATCATATCAACCTTAATAAAAAAGCAAGATGACTTTGGATTAAAATTGAAAATCTAGAATTGGCGCGAAGATCTTGAATTCTGTTGTATTCTCTACACTTGAGTAAAGTGAACACCTGAACCCTAGACTAGAGGGTTGAAGAACAACCCGGAGCAAATACTGTCGGTTCATTTCATCCTTGCGGTCAGTTCTACAAAGTTCAAGTCAGTTTACGGTCAACTTATCCATCCTAATTCTGGTTAGAGCACAGTTCGTCCTCAACCCTTCTCCAAGAATGTATAGAACAGTTCTCTCTCTTCTCCTGGTCCCAGGACTAATCCTTGTCTCGGCAAATGATTTAGAAAACTCTGTAATTGAGTTTCCAAGTAAGAATATTTCTGATTAGTTTTTTTTAATTGAACTCATATTCGCAAATAACTTTTACCATAAATCCTTTTACAGGATAATTTTCTATATTTTTTTAATTTGAATTTTGAATTTGTAAACATGGTTTCATGAGATTAAAATCTTTAATCTCGGGATTCATGATTTGACTTTTTATTCTCAAAATATAGCTTTAATGTAAAGTTCACGTCCAATAAAAGTAGATTTCGCGTTAGGTTAAAATAATAAAACATGTTTCCAATCATAACTGTTTGAAGTCAAAAGTTCAGTTCGTCCAGTATATACAGGGTTACCCACAAAGGATGAGACTATAATGACGACCTAAAACTCTTTAAATATGACGATTCCAAGGTTGAATTAGGTCTTCTCCCTTAAATATAGTCTTTCTGCTGCATTTTTAATTATTAGAAAAAGGGAAGAAACAAGTTTAGAGTTTAAGGGAATCATAAAACAAGAAACCAGACAGTAACATTTCTGTACAGTCGTCTCTGAAATATCATCTTCTGTGGGTAACCCTGTATATTATCTAGCTATATGGTTTATCCTTATGATCTTTGATAATCCTTATTATCTAGATATATATATATATATATATATATATATTCCTCATTATCTAGCTATTTATACAATGCTTATTATCTCAGGTATATATATAACCCTTATTATCTAGGTATAGCACGTGGATTTAACGGTTCTGTCAATATTTCAGAAAACTGTGACTTTCTATCACAATTTGACCCCTTTTACATAATTTTATAGCCTTTTATCTTAAATACTTTTTTATTGCCATATACATTTTGAATGAAAAAGTATAAAATAAACAAATCTGTAAGTCTAAAGACTGTTGAGTTATAGACGAAAACACGTTTGATTTCAAATAAAAGAAGCCGAATGCTTCTCTCTCTCTTTAGTTCAGGGTGATATATACAATTCTTATTATCTAGGTTAATATACAATTCTTATTATCTCATGTATACATATATAACCCTTATTATCTAGGTTAATAAACAATACTTATTATCTCATGTATACATATATAACCCTTATTTTCTAGGTTAACATACAATGCTTATTATCTAGGTATATATATAATCCTTATTATCTAGGTAAATATACAATTCTTATTATCTCATGTATACATATATAACCCTTATTTTCTAGGTTAATATACAATGCTTATTATCTCATGTATACATATATTATAACCCTTATTTTCTAGGTTAACATACAATGCTTATTATCTCAGGTATACATATATAACCCTTATTTTCTAGGTTAATATACAATGCTTATTACCTTATTATCTAGGTATAGCTGGATTCGATGATACATCTGTTGTTGGAGTACTTTTTAACACAGGGAAGAATCTAAGCGAGTATATTCTAAATGAATCTCTGAACGGACTCCGATATCCCTTCAAGCTGCTCTCAGATTTCGCCGAGGTCGTGGCCGCCGATCACAAGAATCTTGGGGAGAAGGGGGTGGCGATCATCAAGCTGTTTGTGATGAGGGTCGAGAAGGGAGCCACGTACCATCTCCACTACATGCAGATGATCTTCCAGATCTTTTACAAGATGATCATAAACATCGTGGCTCTCATCCCGGGCTCAGATAGTTTGCAACCACTCTTGTAAATAATTACATTTGTGTTCTGACATTTGTTGTTTTATTTTAATGAATGTTATGAATTTGATAAAATGTACTCAAAGTTTTGTCCGCCGGTGAAATCACTAAATTGTATAAATTGTAATGTAAAATTCTTATTCACTAAATATATTTTTTTTTGACAAAAAGGTCTGTAACATATTTTGTTTATACTTTCCTTGAATAAATGGTTTAATTATAAAACACTATATAGTAGATTGTAGACAGGTTTTCAAAGTTCTTCCGAATCCGTCTTGGTCCCGTAAAGGACTTGCGCCACACGACTTAACACCAGGCGTGAGATAACGAAAAAAGGGTGCAGGACGTTTATTCCATATATGGAGATGATCCGAAATATTTGTTTTTCAGAATGTCAAATTTAGCTCTGTGTTGCATTCTTAACTCAGTTAATATTTATAGAAGTCATAGAAGTAGTATTAAGAGTACATACTTTTCGCTATTTATTAATTTCGAACTCTGTTTTTCATTTGTGAAGAAACCTTATATTTTACGAAAAGAAGAAAAAAATGCCGTGATCCAGAATAAATTAGAATACCTAATTATGGAATGTGTTTTTGTTTTTATTTAATCGGCCGCCGAACTTGAAATTTTCAAAAATGTCAGGGACCTAGCGTAGGACTGATATACACGTCCACCTCGCGTTAATATATATATAATTAATGTAAATTAACGAAAAAGTGTCAAACATAATGAATTTAAGGGTTAACATGAAGATTTAAATACAATTAGACAAGACAATCGTAACAAAGGATCAACTGAACTATGAAAAGATGATAGTACCTAAGGATCAACTGAACTATGAAAAGATAATCGTAGCATAAGGATCAACTGAACTATGAAAATCGACAATCGTGGCTAAGGATCAACTGAACTATGAAAAGACAATCGAAGCTAAGGATCAACTGAACTATGCAAAGACAATCGAAGCTAAGGATCAACTGAACTATGAAAAGATAATCGTAGCTAAGGATCAACTGAACTAAAAGACAATCCTAGCTAAGGATCAACTGAACTATATAACAAGACAATCGTTGCTCAGGATCAACTGAACTATGACAAGACAATCGTAGCTAAGGATCAACTGAACTAAAAGACAATCGTAGAAAAGGATCAACTGAACTTTGAAAAGACAATCGCAGCTAAGGATCAACTGATCTATGACAAGACAATCGTAGCCAAGGATGAACTGAACTATAACAAGACAATCGTAGCCAAGGATCAACTGAACTATGACAAGACAATCGTAGCCAAGGATCAACTGAACTATGAAAAGACAATCGTAGCTATAAAGGATCAACTGAACTATGAAAAGATAATCGTAGCTAAGGATCAATTGAACTATGACCAAAAATAGAGAGGAATTGTTATTGGTTGGGATGAATTGAGAACAAAAGAAATAACATTTTGAAAGTTGTATTTCTCCCAAATTTTATCGAGTTCGTTGACCCATAAATTTTATAAATTGGAGAGGTAGTTACTTTTACAAAGTTTTATCTAAAAATCCACATTTTTCTCTTTTATATATTCCTTAATTGATAAATATTTCATAGATTTGACTTGCAAAGTTTATTTCATAAAAACCAGTTTCAGGCGCGCCTAGATAAGACTTTAATGACTACCTTACACTTGGTGAATAAGACCGTTTTTAGGTTAAATTTTGAGCATAAATGCAAGAAAAATAAACTCCATACAGTCCTATCTAAAGTCTCATCCTATATGGCCGGGTAACCCTATACGATAAATCGTATCATCATCTACACCCTTAGTATGGTAAACAGACTACACAGACTGGTTATCTCCTTTCACAGGGTGGGCTACGTAGGCCTAAGTTGAATATAATATGAATATAATACACATTCAGGGGTTAAGTTTTACAACTTTTAAAGAAGTGTTCCAATTTTAAACGTGAAAAATAACATTTATGAATTCAGTCTATTTTTGAAGATTTTGTGTTTCTTATCCAAAGGATCCTTAAATATCCCTGAATACAGATGTTTGCTGATTGGTCGTGTACAGTACATGTACACAATACAAGAATGTAAGGCAAGGAAAGTCAATTGCGGTTGTGTATACTCTGTGTACATATTGAAACCAGTTCTCTCTGGGCGGAATTTGTAAACAATAATAGATGCATCAGTGTTCGTTTAGTATCCGAGGAGGTTAAAAGCATTAAATTTTGATAATTTTGATAATTCACATAATAGTTTCCATATGACCAGAATATTTCATTGATTTTTTATGTGAATGATGGATCCCATGTCAGGCTTCGACATCCATCTTGTGTTTACATTAGCGCCCAGAGACAGTACACTGCAGTACTAAAGATGTGTACACTTCTGAAATGATTTTTTTCTTGCCTTACATCCTTGTCACAATAGAACATGTTGTGGGAAATATCGCATATCATAGGTTTCAATCGATCTCAGTAACTCTCTTATCTCTGGTATGGGAATTTCTTTAACCTTGGGTGGGAAAGTATGTTTAAGTAATGTTTCCTCTGAAGTTTCATCCTTTGTGGGTAACCCATGTCTGTGAACCAGATTTAGAAAGCGAAGAAAGATATTTTCTAAAATGTTGATCTTTTGGGTGGAAATATGAACAAATAAGTTCGCTGGTACAGTTGTTCTCTTTTTCAAGGATCTTCAGCCTGGAATTCAAGTTTCAAAAGTTCTACTTTAACTTTCAATTGAATTTTGTTGAGCTAAGTTTAGGCGTATATTGGCTCAAACTTTATTATTTTAAAAGAGTTGAGTATATATGTATATAAAGTTGTAATCTCTGTTTGTCTGTTTGTTTGATTGTAACTCGGGAGAACCACGGGGCACGGGAATGTTCTTGGCTTGGTTTTGAGATTCAAAAGCTGAAATCGTATACTAGAAGATCTTATTATTTACAACTGGTCAAAAACCATGATAAAACATTTTTAAAAAATTATTTTCCGGAGAAAATGGAGACAAATTCTGAAAAAAAAACGTATTTTTGACACTGTTTGTCCTGTTTATTAGAGAGATATGCAATTTATTTTACTGAGTGTAGTCACTGTTACTTCGGGAATTATCAAATATTGCGAATTTGACAACATTACTAGCCTTAGAGGGCGCTTCGCGCCCATCTTCTAAATTAATTGTGAACATGTTCTCTTTGTGTACATCGTAAAACAAAACAAAAATAATTCGCTGATTTTCACAAAAAAATTCGTGGATTTTCAAAATTTTCAAAAATTTAATGAAGATCGAATTTAGACAAATATTTAAAATTTCAATCATTCATAAACCTTCCCTTGGGTCCCTAGATGTCCCACGAAAAATTTGGGCCCGATCGGTTCAGCCGTTTTGACGTTTATTGGATACAAACAAACAGACAGACAGACAAGCCAAATTTATATATAGATACAGGTGACGCAAAAATATCGGAATACTAAAATTCCGCATCATTAAGAAAAACGATATTTGTGTAGAAATATGGTGGGAGTAGGACCTAATGAATGGGGGTGTACAAAAAATAATTCTTACATCTCATAACAGAGCATTTTTTATGCAGAAAACACTTCAATTGTGCAGATTAGGAGCTTAAACTCAAATGTACATATATAATCGTCAGTGGGACTTTCAAAAGCTTTAAGAAATTAAAAATCATGTTTACAAAACATCCACGTGTTTCACACAATCAACTCAAGTTTATTTGCAAATATTTGCTGAAAGTGTATTTTGTTTTTTTATTCCAGATCGACGAAAATAAAACAAAAAACATTCGAGTGCTCATTCATCAAAAGCAGGATTAGAACATTAACACAAACATTTTTTTAAAAAGATTTTTTAGTTAACTTTAACATTAATTACACTGAACACCTCGTCTTTTTTAAGGAAGTGTTCGCGAAAAATGAAAGGGGGTAAAGGCTTACGGCGAAAAATAAGCACTTTTAATCGCTACTAATCTTACTTCTATCTGTTGCGTCTATAAGGAGAAAATTGTTAAAAACGACTAATGACTTTAGGTTGTAATATCTGAATGATTTTTTTGGAATTAAATTGATTTTTTTACGATCCGAGTTGAATGTTGCAACTTTCTGAATTTGTATGGACACTACGTTCTTCGGTTCAAGTCGTTTTTAACAATTTTCTCCTTATAGACGCAACAGATAAAAGCAAGATTAGTAGCGATCAAAAGAGCTTATTTTTCGCCGTAAGCCTATCCTTTCATTTTACGCGAACACTCCCTTTAAGTACCAGGCCGACTTTTATTTTATGTTTTTCAGTATTTATAGTGCAGACTCTAAAGCCCAATAAACTACAATAAAGTGAATCATCCTCTTCTAGTGAGGTTAATGTGGTCATTTTTCAAGCATTTTTAGTGATGCATCACTACTTACTTCGGTTCATTTGAAGTACAGGGCCGTCTTTTAAATCATGTTAACCGTATTACATAAAGACTAAAGACGGCAGATGAATGTCCCATAAACGTAATGAAGACTGGTTTTTAACATTATGTAACAGTACAATACATATTGCATGGAAAGGGTATCATGTACATGGACTACACAGGTAGGACAAATGAAGCCAAACTTGTGTACTAGCGATGAGAGCAGAACTTAAGTAAAAGGAGTGATTGGCGAAATTTTGATGAAGTTTGCGCGCGTTTATGAGTGACCTTTCTTTGGTTAACAGTGTTATGCCGCAACATAGACTGTACTGCCGTCATGCATATTGTGCATTAGCACAGACTTTTACAAACATCTATCTCTCTGCACATCTGCTCCTATCTGTCCAATCTCTAGTTTCATGAGTAAATGAATTTACTTACTTTTCTTTTCCTAGAATATATTTAAAGGAAAACCTAATCAATCCAATGAGACGCAATTAATACTAAAGTAATGGGATTACATGGAAATGAAAAGAATATGTACATGCCCTTATTCAGTGTGCTTATTTAATAAACTAACAAATATTAAATATTTCAGAAATATGTTGGTCGTCTTCTACATGTACTTTAATAAGTATCTACATTTGTGTTAAAATTTGTAAAAGATCAGAAGATATGAATTGAGTATTAACAATTTCTTGAATCCCTAAATCTTTGCAACCTGGTCATACCCTGTAGGGATAACTTTAATTGAGCGGGGTCAAGTATCTATCCTCAAAGGATATGAGTCTTTGGCACAAACTCTGATTTTCTAATCC